GAGTGGTATCACTCAACTGGTGTCATTAAACTGTAAACATGAAAAATGTTGAATTCACAAATGTTTTCTTATGTATATGTTATGGATTGTATTGTGTTCCCCCAAATAAGTGTGAGATTCCTACTACATGTAGAAACAATACAGTTTTCTTTATTATGTTAATGAAGCATTACCAGTATAGGGTGAGTCCTAAACTTAGTTATTTCTGAGTATAAATAGAGCAGGGTAAACACAAGGAGTCCTTGTGTGACACTATCAGATAAGCACTGGACTGCTAACTGTATGGTCAGCAGTTCAAACCCACCAGCTGCTCCTTAGAATTCTATACAGGGTCACTATGAGTCAGAACTTGCTTAATTAAGGTAAACAATGTCACTGAAAACTACACAAGAAAAAAGGACTTGTTGGTAATTGTGATATATATATATATATATGAAATGAAAAATGAAATAAAAAATCTATATGTATATAGATATATGTGCATATGTATTTTATTTCATTCTTCTACAGTCTTATTGTATTCATAGTGTAACTTTCAGATGCATATGCGGCAATTGAAAATACCATGACTTAGGTGAGGCACACCTTAGTCCTCAAACTGTTATCTTTGTTCTTTAACACTCCAAGGAAATCTTTTGCATTAGATTTGCCTAATGCAATCTGCCCTTTGATTTCTTGACTGCAGCTTCCAATTATGTTGATTGCAGATCCAAGCAAAATGAAGTTTTTGACAACTCCAATCTTTTCTGTTTATAGGATATAATTTATTGGTCCAGTTGTGAGGATTTTTGCTTTCTTTACATTGAGTCGTAATCCATACTGAAACCTGTAGTCTTTGATCTTCAACAGTAAGTATTTTAAGCCTTTTCTCTTTCAGCAAGCAAGGCTGTATCATGTGTATATCACAGGTTATTAATGAATCTTCCTCCAATCCTGATGTGATGTTCTTCTTCATATAATCTATTTTCTCAGATTATTTGTTCAACATAAAAACTGAATAAGTTTGGTAAAAGTCTACCACACTGACACACACGTTTTTGTGGTTTTAAACTATTTAGTATCCATTTGTTTGGTTCTAACAACTGTCTTTTCATCTATGTATAGGTTCCTCATGAGCACTCTTAAGTGTTCTAGAATACCCATGCTTTGCTATGCTACCCATAGTTTGTTATGATTCACACAGTTGAAAGCCTTTGCACAGTCAGTATCAATACACCTTTCTGGTATTCTCTTTTAGCCAAGATCATCTGACATCACCAAGGATATCCCTAGTTCCATGACCTCTTCTCAATCTGATACGATTTTCTGTCTGCTCCCTCTTGATGTACTGCTACAATTGTTCTTGAATTATCTTCAGCAACATTTTACCTGCATGTGGTACTAATGATATTGTTGGGTGATTTCGACATTCCACTGGGTCACCTCTCTTTGGAATGAGCACAAATATGGATCTCTTCTAATCAGTTGGCATACATGAATGAGCAACTTCAAGGCTGTCATTTTGTTGAAAGATTTCAATTTGTATTCTATCAATTCCTGGAGCCTTGTTTTTCACAGTACTTTCAGTGCAGCTTGGACTTCTTTAAGTACCATTGGTTCTTGATCATATGCTACCTCTTGAAATGTCTGAATATTGACCATTTCTTTTTGGTATAGCAATTCTGTGTGTACCTTCGATCTTCCTTTTTTTTTTTTTTTAAATTAAATCTTTTATTGTGAATTCAGTGATAGTTTACATGGAAGAACATCAGTTTTCCACTCATCCTATCATTATTTTGTTTCACTGCAATGATTACACTTCCCTCCATGCATCACCTTTCAAAAGTATTTACTTCCATTCCCTCAGGGGTTTTTTTTGTTTTTGTTTTTTGATGTACATAAACATACTCAAGAATAGGTAACTATTTAAACATCCAAAAGGGCATATTCTGCAAGCCTGCCTTCTGCCCACTAGCACACAAGTTTTTTCTTTTCATGAGTCTAAAGTCCTCAGCTGCTCTATCTCTCCATGTCATCATCCTTGCCTCCATTTCTGGTGTCACTACTTCTCTGGATAGGGTCCCACATTCCACTCATGCTCTTCTTCCTTGATGGTCTTAGGGTCCTCTGTTCCTGGAATGTAAGTTTAACTACTCTATCCCCATCTTGTTTTTCCACCTCCTCCCACTTCATGTGTATTGCCTTTCCCAACACCTAAACCGTGTGCTCTACTGTCCCCTTCCTCCCACCCCTGATTATCAACAAAGAATTTTTTTTTCTTTCTCTTAGCATAGGTATATTTTTGTAAGTTTCATATTTTTAATGTTTCCATGTTCTTGGATTTTCCTTTTCTTGGTATGTTGAGAAGTATTAATCTTCTTTGAGGTTACCCTATATTCTATTAACTTTTCCTTCCATTTAAAACAGTCATTTTATCCTGCAATCTACCTGACCTCCTCACCACCTGGATCTCTGTTCCTGTATTTTTACTTTCTTTCACATTGTAATTGTTTTGACCATAGACTGAC